ATCCAAGTTTTTCACTTGTTCTCTAGAAAGTATAGAGAGTTAGAGTGAAGGAGAGTCTCTTGTTTTTTAGAGATCTCTAGTGTTTAGTTAAGAAAGAAGGAGGGTGTGTGAGGGCTGTGTGGAAGTCGACGTTGGCGGGTGTGTCGGGTGTGTCTTGTACCCATTTGTTGATTCCATTCTAGTGAATTATCCTCCGAGCTCCAAGCTTAACCCGTGTTTTTTCTCGTTTGGGTTTTCCACGTAAATCCTTGTGTCCATTATTTATGTGATTGTCTTTTATCTTTTTGTCATTAAGAACAAGACCCTGAAGTGGTGTTGAGAAGTTTCGCGATTTGTCAACACCAACACCCACCCACCCACCAACACACCCATGTGCACGCAGGCACACGCGCGTGCTCACACACATGCACACATGCACGCGCGCACATGCACGCACACGCACGTACGTACGCTCACGCGCACGCGTGCACGTGCACGCGCATGTACGCACTCATGCACCGGGTAGAATGATTTCTTGAATCAGGAGGAATTGTATTGAAATAGAAGGTGAGGGGATGAGTATACAAAAGGGGTTCAGTTACGAGTCGTGATCAAAGAGAAGGATTCAATTAGCAGTCATGATTCGAGAGTGAGAACACACAAGATATATACCCAAACAAAAAAGATAGGGGAAAAAAATCTTATAAACAATCCTCTCTGCAAAAGGGTACGATGAGGAAGTAAATTCTGATGTGTTTTACTAATTTCAAATCAGTTGTCATGCCCCAGGCCCACAAGCCCATTGGCGCGGGCAAGCTATAGGACCCACCGAGAGCAATTCGATCGTTGGCTCAATCCACTATCAAAATACTAGCACTATTTGTTCTTGGGCCTTGGGTTTTTCTCTATTTAAACTACTAATATTTCTTCACATTAGTCCATTTGGGACTAAAGTGACGGTGTCACATGGGACTAAAGTGAGGGTGTCACATAATATCATTTGTATCTCTAAATCCAAACAGGTTTATGTATTTGTCTTTAAATACTATCGGTGTAATTCATGATCAAAGTAGGTTGTACACATAGTCTTAGGAGACAAAAACCCAAAGTATCCCCAACCCATTCAAAACTTCTCTTTGTCTCTCTCTCTCTCTCTCTCTCTCTCTCTCTCTTCTTAAAGAACACCCTAAATGCAAAAAATTTATAAAAACACCATAAATATTTGGAAAATTATTGAAAGCACCCTAAATGAAAAATTTATAAAAACACCCAAAATTTTTTAAATTTGCAAAAAAAAAAACATCATAAGTATGTTAAAATTTATTAAAAACACCCTAAATGTAAAATTTATAAAAACACCCTAAAATTTCAACCTAATAAATAATAGGCTAAAAATCTAGGAATTACAAGATTATCCCTTTAAAAATTGTAATTTGTAGAAAATACCTTAAAATTTTCAACAATTATAAAAAACACAATAAAAATTTATAAAAACACCTTAGAAAGATCAAAATTTCACCATTTACCAAAAACATCTATTTTTAAGTTTTGATCCTTAAGGATGTTTTTGTAAACTTCAAATTTTGAGGGTGTTTTTGCATTTTTAAAAAAATTCAGGGCATTTTCTACAAATTCTAAAATATTAAGGGGTGGTTTATAATTCTAGATTTTCGCCGTACTTTTGAAATTTTTAGGGTAGTTTTTATAATTTTAAATTTTAATGATGTTTTTTCAATTTAAAACTTTTAAGATGTTTTTTGCAATTCTAAAAGCTTTTTTAGAAGGTTGTTTCCTTTAACCTCAAGACTTACGAATTTCTTAATGCAAGGGTGGCAGGGTTGGAGGAAGAGAGAGAAGTAAAATGGGAGTTTTTTTAGGTTTTTTTAAGGGGGGCCATGTAGTTATGTAGTATATTTAGGAGATAGGAAATAAAAACAAACAAACACATACACACACATATGAGAAAAATGTAGGAACTTGATACTAAGGGGCTGTTTGGTTCGTTTCCTAGATATAGGGAAATGTAATTCCATGTAAAGAAACTAATGTTTTTAGTTTTCCAAACTTTTCCAAGAAATAGTTTGTTTTGGTTTGGTTCGCACAAAAAAATGGTGAGAAACCAATGTTTTGTGTTTGGTTGGTTTTGAAGTGTGTAGGGAAAAGTGTTTAGAGTCACCATGGTAAGATTACCCCCCACTATAGACAAAAATTATTTGTGCTAGTTATGAGATGTAATCTTAATCATATAAAAGTGCGAATGTATCATGAACAAATATTAATAACCCGAATGAATTATAAATTTCTGTTTGTATTAATGAAATCATACGAAACCTGAAATCATCTGAAACCTACTGTAACATGAACTGCGTACCTGATTTGACATGAAATATACCTGTTTGAGATGAAAATAATCACACAAAACCTGTTTTCGAAGAAAAAATAAACAAGACCTGTAATAACCTGATTATTCATAAATTTATGAAATACGTACCTGAATTAGCCAAAAAAATTTCTGAAACCTATAAAAACATATAAACGGCATGAATAGCCATATTTTAGTATATAACATAGCAAATAGCCATCCAGTATATGTGAATTATGATTGTGGGCTCAGAACTTGTTCAATATCATCATCGTTAGCCATCCAGTGCAATATCAATAGATATTGCAGGTTGCTAATCTCAGAAAAATTAACAATCATCATAGCCTAAATTGAACACCCACAAACAGTATCATAATCAACAAACAGTGCGGAAAATCTAAGCACACATAGAACTCCACAAAACATGAGCTCAAATAGAAGTTGAACAACAGAGCATCCACAAACAATGAGCTCACAAAACTGGTGTGCACAAAACTGGAAGTTGTCACAAACCTGGACACAACAACAAACCCAAAAAGCACCACTCTGCATTCTAATATAATTCACACAACTATCACTAAAACCATTATAAATACGCTCTATATGTTCAATTCTAGACCTCTCTTGTCTTTTTTTTTTCCTCACTTGGACCACGACGTATAGATTTACGTCTAGCTTGCATTCTCCTTATGAATGTAATTATTATAACAAGAACATATAGTGCTGCACCTTGAACCACATTAACAACACTTTGTTCATCGGTACAATCCCCATCACCATCCATCTACGATGCAAAAATCAAATTGAAATAATTAATATACCTACCAAGCATTCATATGCAATGTCAATAATCAAAACTTAAATGACACATAACAAGATCTAAAGTTAATTTTCAGTTAATATTTCATCAATATTTTCAGTTTCTTTTACGACCATTTAAGATAATTGTCAGTTCATTTCTGTTCTCTTTTCAATTATATTTATAATAATTAATATAATTTTTAGTTAATTACAGTAACATTTTTAGTTAATTACAATTATATTTTCAGATAAATTTTTGTTAATTTCTAGATATCTATATAAAATGCAAAATTTCATCCTAAATAATTCAAATCATACAAAATTTTTAACAAATCAATTCTGAGTTGAGAATCATACGGGAAAGAGGAGGTGACCCTAGCCCTCAACCGTGTTTCCCCCCATTTACCCGAGATCTGACAATAGTACAGATCGGGGGCGATTTCCTCTCGTTTTCGAAGGAAATGGGGCGCAGAAAAAAGTCCGATGTGGAGGGGATTTCTGCGGCTGGAGGGACGAGGGGGAGAAGCGAACCAAAGATGGGAAACGAAAACCCTAGAATGGGTTTTGTCGATGTGGAGCGGGTGTCAGGAGGAGAAAAGCGTTTCTACGGGGTTTTAAAGCGAACCAAACAGCCCCTAAGCATAAATCTTGTGCTTGGTAGTCTCATTCACTCTCCAAACCATGTGAATGTGGTCCCTCATTTGAAAAAGTGTATGGAAATGAGCCACGTCACTACGAAACATAAAAAACTTGTACTTTGTACCAAGTTCCTCCATATTGCTACATATACACACATGTATATTTGGATTTATAGGTACAATAAATCTATTTCAATTTAAAAATAAATCAGAGTAAAGCTTTGGGTCTAAAGGCAAAAACCCCATGAATTAAATGGTACTTGTGGTTGTTTTAATGATAGTCGACGATATGTAAGTTATCTAGGCTCTAAAGGGGCTCAAACGGACAACAGTATAATAAGGCTTCGTGGGGCTAGATGAGAGGATCTAATAGGCTGTTCTCATAGAAATCAACTTTAAAATAGGATCATTCTATAGAAAACACATTCACTTTCAATTGTACATAAACCACCTTTAAACTACTTTTTGATGCAATCAACCACCTTGACTTATTTTTAAGTCAATTTTTTCAGCTTTGTTATAATTTTCAATTGTCAAAAACCAAGTATACTAGAGAGATGATCCTTAATTGAGGTTATACGGGTCAATTACTAAAAAAATTTAACTAGAAACTAGACCTAGGTGGTTGATTGCAACAAAAAACTACTTCAAAATGGTTTAAGTATAAATTAAAAATGAAAAACAGTTTCTATAAAATGACCCTATTTTAAACGTGGTTTCTAAGAAAGCCCCGTATAGATATTTAGAATGTTTAGGCTTCACGAATCGCAAATTCACAGATAACCAAACAAGGTCTTATTTTAACGAGCAAAAAGGGGGAAAGGTGTTATTTTGGTGACAAGAATTAGTCTAAGGTTAAAAAAACATATGCTATGCATGATAAGGAGCTAGAACTTTTGGAATAGATCTAGGTGCGGAAACAATCACTTTAGAAGCCCAGAAATATGAAGAACATACAACATTACATTAGTAAAATTATATCCATTAACTTTTATCATCACTTTAGAGTTTTGGTGTAACGAAAGGATTCTTTAATATGATTTTAGATGAGACAAAGTTTCAGCCTAATAAAAGAACGCTCAACATGAGAGGACATGTAAGAAAATAAATCAATAACGTTCACCATAATATTGAAAATTGGGTGGAGCAACAAGGTCCTTTGACACATTGTATATGGTGCAAACTAGTCATGAAAATGACATGATGTCATACAAAATACCTGCTATTGAACAGTAATCACTCAAAAGGTCTCCACTATTATAGCATGGAAACCTTTGATCAATATACATAAATTTCTACCAATAGAAGTGTCCATTGCATCTCATACATCTCTATACTACGACAAGGGCGACCAGTCGGAAGTATTAGCAGAATTCTAGCAATAAGGCCACAAATTTACATTGAAGGAGTCCATTCATAATACATTCATAATACGTGGATATACAGAAGTACACTACCACAGATGGTACATATTACATGCAGATTTTTACTTAGATTTACTTCGAATCACTGAAAATAGAGGAGTTCAAGACCTTGGAGAGGCTTCTCATATGATGTCAACAAATTCAAAGCCCCTGATTTTGACAGTATCTTCATCATTAAATCATTCCAAGTATCTACAGGCCCGGGCACACACCAGTGAAGGCAGTCATTCTGTACTTTCGCACTCTTATTCCCATGAAACGGATCAAATCTCCTATAAGGGCCAGGATGCCCATCTGGTCGAAGCAATGAAAGATGAAAAATATCAAGAAGTTCCAACTGAATCCCTCTTTTGGATGCAACAACCTTAGCCTTGTCATACTCCTCCACCTCAATTTTTTTCATATTATGATCATTCGGGGAACCATTAAATTGACCTTCTCTATATGGCTCTGATCGGTTACAAATCCCTCCATTGTACCACTCTCCATACTCAAAATGATCAGGTGACCATGTCCTAAAAACGACAAATGGCTTGTGATCTGATGAAGTGATGTAATCAAATACATGCTGAAGGGCTTTGCGATAAGGTTCATATACACCAAGTTCTTTAAGGTTCTTTGTTCCACAGTTGTGGCAGCCGATAACAGAGTTATTTTCCCACGCGACTGTAGTTTTGAGAAACCACTGACCTCCGGCTATTAGTATATAGTCGTATTTGTGGTAATCATTAGTCCAACTAGCTTCTAGAATGTCAAGAAAAAGTTGGATGGTGCTGTTATCTTTTCCATCCTCGTTTTCATTGAACACAGCTTTGACGAGGAAAGGAGCCCATTTGGTTGCAATGGTGAAGTTGTGGTTGGGGAAGTAAAATGTCCGGGCTTTATATGACTTGTCGTGATAGATCTCAATAGGTTCTTCTACCTGAATTCAGAATAAAAAATGGATGTTTTGCATTCTTTTAATGATTGTGTAAACTATTATTTAGCAATAATTTAGACGACAAAATCAGTTGAGGGCTATTAATAGTTTAGGATTCGTGGCGAAGATAGCAAAAAGTTGCAGTGTAGATGGCTCCTACTTGAGAAAATGTCAACCAAAAAAACAAAAGTATCCAATGCCACAAGAACTTACATGGTTCAGCAATTTTGGGATAATTAAGAATGTTATAACTAATGAATGCACAAGTGAGTGTAGGGCAGAGGATGTACTGGATTCTAATTCCTGTTATTAGAACTTCTGATACAACGCCGTTGCTAAATTATCCGCTACTGTAATTATGATTCACAGGAAGTAAATGTTTGAAGTCGAAGCTATGTTGAACAGAACATATATGGCATGGGGCAAGCAAAATTTCTGATATCAGAAATTTTAGT